AGCCGCTCCTCTGCACCTATATAAAGACACACTCGTCACTCATTCCTTACCTCAAAATCTATACCCCAGCCGTTCGCGGATACAGCCTCCCTGCCCGGCGCCGCTCTTACGTATTGTGTATGGCTAGAGTATAGTCTTTTACACCTGCTTTTTGCAATTATTAAAAAATTCTTCTCTATGGAGCTTTAAACCTATCGTAACGTGAAGTTTCGACATGGATGTTCTCCTTCTGTTTTATGCTACTATGATTTTTAGTATTTTTTATTTATAACTAATTTTAGAGATGGAAGTGATGATTTTTTCCCCAGATGATTCGAAGCTGAAATTACTGAGCGCCTTTTCTTCTCCTCTTATGGGGAGATTCAAGCCAATATTCTGATCCATCTTATATATATTTATATTTTTAAAACTATTCTTCTGGATTGATTTGGATTTACAGTTTGTCACTTTGTCCTCAACCGAATGGGTGGTGTTCAGTGATATTCTGGTTAAAATTTCACTTATTCTGAGTCTTGAACAAAGCACCAGAGCTATTCTGGTATTCGATTCTAGCTACTTCAATTTTAAAATTATTGGCGTTTTGGTATTTCAATTAAATTAGTTATATATTTGTACAAATTAAAAAATATATTTTGGATAATTAACGTTTGCACTTTGCATCGACTTTGATTTTGGAAATTTATGCAAAAGCACTTTGCAGTTCTTTTCAAGTGTCAAAAAATCAATTACAATCAATCAGTTTTTGGTTCATTTTGAATCAGAAGAACCATTTGGGAGATATTTCACCACTTCTAATATTTTTTTAAAATTCAAGAAAATATTTTGTTTGGTAATTCAATCTTTCTTATCTATTCCTCTCTTCATATGAATAATGCTAAATGTACACAATCTTTTACACCTCTCTCACATGGAGGGGGGCCCACACATAATAAAATAATCGTGGACCCCTCTCTATGTGTGAGAGGTGTAAAAGATTGTGTAAAAGTGTGTGTACATGTAGCATTACCCCTCTTCATATACCCATCAATAAAAAAAAAATTAATTGGAAAATTAAATAATCAAACATTTTTAATTAATAATTTTTATCAAAAAAGTTTTGAGTAATTGAATTATTTAAATTTATTTTATTTTCATGTAAATTACATGTTTGTAATCGCATCAGAAAGAAAAAAACATTTTAGTGCCTTTTGATGTAGTTAAAAAATTAGTAGGAATTGTAAGCCAAAAATAATAATTAATTTTAATTATATATTTTATGGAATTTATATATTTTATCAAATTTTTAGATATTTAGCCCCCGTTTGGCACCCATTAATTTCTCATTCTCATTCCCATTCTCATTTTCATTCTTCATTTCAACCACACATTCTCCAAATAAAATACTATTATACACAAATCAAAAACTTTTCATCACTTNATTCCCATTCTCATTCTCATTCTTCATTTCAACCACACATTCTTCAAATAAAATAATATTACACACAAATCAAAAACTTTTCATCACTTTTCCACCACACATTCTCACATCAATCACTATTCCAAAATTTCTATTCTTCTCAAAATTAGATTCAAACACACCCTTAATTTTCTGGGAATGGATTTTGTGAGTGAAAATTGATTGCTGAATGAAAAGTGTTGTGAGTCTAGTAGAAATTATCCTTTGCATAACTAAAAATAAATTTTAAAGAGAATAGCTTAACTTTACAATATGGCGAACAATTTCGTCACGGAACGATTGAGATGATGAAATTCATGATAAGACGGCGAGTTTAGGAGTCGAGGCGGCATGTGGCGAAGATGAAGGCA